GAGAGAACTCTGTCCTTGCAGGGCGTGCAGTTCCCTTTCTGGAGGTGCAGTAGACTTTACAATCGCTCTCTTCTACCTGGGTGCTATTCTGTCACTTTTAAACTGATACCTTTTACTAAATTATGCATACAATGTTCATCAGTTGCAAAACTATGAGACAGGCTGCAAACATGCTGTGGACCTCTTTTCATACCCGCTGCTCACACGTCATCACACACAAGTCAGAAGTTAATGTCACAGACTAACTGCTTTCATAACAACTGCAGCCTGTACTCTTTGCTCTTTAGTCTGGGTAACTGCAGGTCATAAGCATTCGTCATGTACGTTTTTCATGGGCCGACGACGCAAATTTGTGCTTAGCTTAACCAAGTTCCTGCAAACAATACAACATGCTACGAGGAAAGCTGTTGTTGTCAACAGATATCATTTCATTGCGTCATAGACTGAACACGTAAAGTTCAACACAACACCAAAAAAAAAAAAAAAAGTACAAAAATCCAACCTTGCAAAGCCCACTCCTCTGCTGACTCCACCCGAGTCTCTCAAGATCCGAGTGGATATCACTTGACCATAATGTTTCAGCATATCCTCCAGTTCCTGCTCATCCATAGACAGAGGTAAGTTGGAGATGTAGAGGTTTGTTGGGTCTTGTTCTTGTTGCTGCGTGATAGGAAAATAAATTAGAGATAAGGTAATGAGGCATTAGAAAATATTTAAACATCTGGAAAATACTAAAACCTTCATTCATGTTGGTGTTAAGTGTGTGAAACTGGTGCAAGAAGAAAGAAGGGAAATTCCACATAATTTACACCTAGAAATGTCTGCTCATTAATTAGATGTCCTGTACGAGACATCACTTATTTTCTGTTTATCCTGATAAATTGTGACTCTTCAGGGTTTTAGGTCTTTAAGAGTCAGTGACAAGAAGAGAGGAACATGCAACCCATGGAGACTAGAGGTTCTTTTTAGCCGACTTCCTGCTGATTTTTCACAGCACCAATTGTAAACCACGGTTACTGGTCCTTGTGGAAAAGTTTTATCATTAATATTTATTGGTGTTACGGTGAGTCAGCAAAAGACGTGTCTGTCTGCAAAACATAACACAAAAACAGAAAATCAACACATAAAGGGCAATAAAAGAGTTCGTTAAACGTTCAAACATATTTTCCCCTGAACTTTCAGGCCCTTGGTGGCAGAGCTGAATATTCATCTAGCTTGAAGAATATTAAACAACCCCTAATGAGGGAAAACAAGAAGTTTTCAAAAACAGAAAGTTGACTTTTCTTGTTGCTTCATTTAGTTGTGACTTTCTTTTTTAATTCAACTTAGCTGGCATAAAAAGTCAACAAACCCCCTCATGAAAAACATCTCTTCATGGAAACTATAAGCTAAATTGTCAGCAATAACAGCTAGGCCTGTCACGATAACAAATTTTGCTGTGTGATAAATTCTCAAAAATTATTGTAATAAACGATAATATTGTTTGAAATTTAAGAAGAAATGTTGGTAAATTTGTTTTGCATGTAGTACCTTTTATCGACCACCGGAAAGCAGTATAAGACTGTTTGAACCGAAGGATGGATAGTGAGGGAGCGAGCAGCATGTCTCTAAGAAAAATGGGAGGGAGGCCCCTTGACGTGGCATGGGCTGTCTCTGTCCGGTTCTCAAAGTAGCAGGCTCTTGTGTGGTTTGAGCTCTTTAGCGTAGCATTTTTCACAAAAAGCTTTTAATAAAAAAAAAATCAGTAAACAAGTTCTCAGCTTCTTTTTGCAGAGAAAAATGTTTTACACGAAGGCACGGGTTTCAATCATGAATTTTGGCGCTTCGACAAGACAGAGGTTTTTTCCCCTGTTAGCTTAGCTCGTAGCTTAGCTTCTCAGCTTAGCTTCTTTGAACGATCAAAAAAGCGTGATTTTGGACGGTTAAATCGGATTTTAAAGAGAAAAGATAAAAGGAGGGGTCATTGAAGAGCACCAGAGTTGAGCTTTTTGTCATCCAGTGTCTTCAGAAAGAGAGACACGAAGACACGATAAAGCCGATGAATGAAAACGAGGTCGATAATTTTCATTCATCATGCGATTAATTGATTTATTGTTTATCGCGACAGGCCTAATAACAGCTCATCTTTTACCAAAAACACAAGAAAACTCTTATTTGGTCATTTCTCACCATCTGCTCTGAAAAGCCAGACTATCTGAGGGTTCCTGGTTTGTTTAAGAGAGGGGGAAAATATGACAAGCTGCTTTAACAACGACAATGAAGCATCAAAGGCTCACATTTATTATGGCATTTACTATCAGTAATAAATGTAAAACTTGAGCACAGACGTCGATATTTTAAACCTAACATAAAACAGTAGGAGGCCATCTTATGAAGCAACAAACCCTCAAACAAAGAAATGTGGTCGAGGTTGTTTTCTGTCATGAAGAAACTAATTTCTCACTAAAGTCACTCCTGTTACCATAACACACAATTATTTACCTCCTTTTCTGCAGGCATCAAGTCAAAAACCATTTAAATTCTCTTGATAATGCCCTTTTAGTCCATGTACAGTATTTAACAATAATAAAATAACAGATTGGACTAAATCTTTACATGTGCTAAAACTTAAATATATATGTTCAGTTCTTAAAGTATGATGTATACAAGTATAAAAATATGAATTGCTACATGAAAACATCCTCTAATTGAGGCTGTAACGGCTTCACAACTGTTGCATCTTGGACTCAGCGGAAAAGAGAAACTTGTGACAATTCTGCGATCCTGAAAGTCGCTTTTTCGTATCAAATTGTTCAATAAATTCTGCTGAATATGCATAAAAATCCAACAGAGGAGCACAAACACAGCGATGGACAGAAAATACAGAGACTACTTCAGCTTTTTCAAAGCTATAAAAATAGCTTAAGATGAACATTTTATATGAATTTTCCAAAGTATGAAGAACTCGTCCAAAGCTTTTTTATCTGAGAGCATTTAGCTGAGTTACAGTTCACGTCAATAATGTTGAGCTCTCTCTGTCTTCAACTGCTTCTCTAAATGTTCAGCAGAGCAGATCAAAACTGACTGAAGAGTTATGTTCCCAACACACTTCCACTTTCTCCCAACACACACTTGAGTTCTTCAGTTTGCCACTTTTCAAGAAATCCGTGCAAAGCTTTGAGAAATGACCGAGATCTCAATCCAGCTGCAGATTGAAAGCTTAACTATTCTCACCAGAATGTTTCACAGTGAGAATAAGAAACTGTGGTCTTTTTGAATGTTTAGGCTTGTTTTACTCATGAAAAGTAAATTAGATGTGTTTAACCCTTTTGAGGGTGATTTGACTTTTCATTGTGCTAAAAAGTCAAAAACGTTTAATCATGATTTAAATAAAAAAAAAACTGGAATTCTGGCTTGGAAAGTTGACGGTTTCTCATCAGCCCTGACATCAAAATATCCAATATGGCTGCCTCACAAAAGAAGAGTGGCGATATCCGCTGTAATAAACAATTTATTTTATTTTCTGTCAGCTTATATTTTATTAAATCAGTCACACATATAGCACTGGACTATTATTATCAGGAAACAAGTTGCTCCAGAATTTAAATCCATAAAATGAAGAGGAATACAGCGTTATTGGCTTGTACTACTAATAAAACTTATAGACACTGAGCACAGCAATTCGTGATACCAACTGGTTTTCTGAGTTGTAGTTAGGTTGGATTAAAAGATCCGAGTTCTGCCTTAAGGCGAATGCATCATAAAACTTGATCTTTTTATTTTTTATCGGTTTTGTTTTCCCAGTAAAGTCATTTTCAATTATATAACTGCGTGATTTAAATGTTTGCAAGTCGTCACAGGATTATCAGTGTCTCCGGGTTTACTGTAAAAATAGTAGACTGTTGAATTGTATACATCATAAAACAACTGACCAGATCAACAAATAATCCACACAGGAGGGTCAGATTTACTAAAGCGCCACAGATAACAACAGTACAGCAGAGCTTAAACTGATTTCTCCCAAAATCAAAACAAAAAGTGAGAGAAATATTAAAACGGAAAAAGCAGCCTCAGCTGGTTGTACAGCAGGAGAAAGGTGGACGCGTCAAAAACAGAGGTGGCTGAGATCACAGTTCCACAACTTCAAAATCAAGTTTGATGCACCTAAACTGCAACAACCCACTGTAAACTGAGCCACATCAACATGAATGTATATCCACTGATAAATACTGATCTAGTACAAACAAAACATTGGCAGGACGGAGTCATACTTTCTATATTTCAACTCTTTTCACTGCAGTAACGCCCTTAAACAATTATCTATACAGTCAGAGCTGCAAACATTTTCATGACTGACATGCAAACAGACACGCCAGCTGCAATAAACAAAATATATGGCTGCCAGTTTCTGGTGCTGAGCGTACAGCTCAAATTGATACGGTTCCTTAGAAGAACATGATCAAATATACACAACACAGCACATCTCTTCATCAACTCTGTGAATCACTGACGAGCTTACACACAAAAAGTTGAGCAGAATACACCCTTTGAGTCAAGGATTCCTGCTCTGCTATTTAATCCTACAAGGATTAGATTTAAATTACCTGCCCAACCAGGAGGAGGGTGGGAGTGTTACTGTGTGACCTGTATGCATTTGATATCCAGATTAGTCCGTAATAAATTCTTACCTTTGCCATCTGAGCTTGAACACCGTTGCTCTTGAGGACAGCCACGGCCTTCTGAGCTGCAGCGGGGCTGTCGAAATCCACGAAACCATAACCTGGGGAGGCATGCGGGCATGTCAGTGGTAGAAGCACTGTGTTGTGTTTTGTTCACGTGCTTTATGTTTCTTTATGAAGTACTAAAGGTTAGTTGTATTGGCATGCTTTGTTTGTGTGTGTGAGTGAAAGTCATAGCCAAAAAACAGCTGAGGATGCAGAAACCGATAGCTCAGGTCAGCTCTTTGTCCTGTGGGGTGCGCACAGGGTGCACCTTTATACTTGATCCGCTACTGCGCTTGTTATATTTAACCCATTTAAAACATTACAGTGAGCTCTCTCAGCAGAATTAGATGTCACTCAGTTACTAAAGTGAACTCTTAATTTAGTAATGATTAAAATACTTAAAGAGCTGCTTTTAGTATGGACGGAGAACAATGTTGAATTTAAGATCGCACGAGGTTGCTCCTAAAGCCACATATGAGGTCGACATTCCAGGGCGTCCACTTTCACCGAGAGCCTTTTATTAACCGGCATCTGCGTAATCCCAAGAGTGACAAAGCAATCTCCTAATCTCATCACCAATGCAAGAAAATCAGCGAGTACCTCTTTGTGAGAGGAGGGTAGTCCACTAGAACTGAACCATGACCAACCATGCCACTCAGCAGGAAGAGGAAACGTCGGGCACTTCTTCCCAGGAAGCACATTTGTGACTCACAAACTGACGAGGGCTGCAGACGAAAATAACTGCAGCCTGCACGTCTGCTTCCTGATTTGGCCCAATCAACTGAAACCGCAGATCTCAAGAACGATTCGGGACATCTATCTAACTGCAAGGGGACGTTAGAGAAAGAGTTGCAATATTCTCTTTACACAGGGACGATACGAGAGAAATGCAACATCGCATACCTTTACACTTATTTGTAGCTTTGTCCAGGATGGCTTTTGTCGACACTATTTTGCCATACCTATGAAGAGGATAGAAAGGAGAAGTTTTGTAAGCAGGGCAGTGCACCAGACGGAGCCAGTTATAAAACACACACACAGAGGGAGGATTGAGCAACAATCCATGACATCACTGCGAAAATATGAGAAACAGGAAGTGGTTTCAATGTGGAGCTGAAAACCTCAATATATGTACAAAACACTAATCTCAACCAGTCCTCTTTTGTGCCAAACTACATCAAGCTTAGAGAATTTTAAGTAAAGAAATGCTGTTTGTTTGGCACCAACGTGGTAAAACCCCAGTACTTTAAGGATAATAAAAAAAATCTATTTTCTTTACGTATGAAGCGAAATCTAAACAAAAAGGCTTAAAGTTAAATTAAAGTATTTCTTCCATTTGCTTCTCACAGACAGCTGATAATAAGGCAGGGCAAACAATTAGCACAGAAAAGCACACCGTCAAAAGTCCCCGTTCTTGTTTATGTTGTCGTCATAGTTTCAAAAGAAATGTAAAAGGACCAGACACAGATTAAAGTGAAGCCTTCATGATAACAACTAAAAGCACAGACGAGAACATTTAAAAAGAACCTTGACATTTCTCTAAGGACATTAAATGGAGAATCTGCAAAAATGGATTATTGAAGACTAAAAATACAAACATTTTTTATTCTCCAAATACTAAGTCACGCTTTTGTAAAGTATACACTATGCGCAACAGCCTGAGAACTGATGAGTTTTAAAAATACAAAGTTTCCAACCTCAAAAGTTCATAAACTCATCTTTTGACCTCCAAAATGGATTATTGATACAGACCAAAAATCTGAGGGATCGTTTAGTCAGGAATTATGGAGGACACTAAACCAGGGGAAAGAGCGTGAACTTGTGACCTATCTGTCTCACGAACTCTAATCTCAATTTGTGTAGCAAAGGGCATATTTGCTCTTGCAGCCCCTTTGACGATAACGACGCCACTACGAGTTAATATATTAGGACCTTTTCGAAATTTTTAATGCAAAGGACAATAAAAACAATTAAGTCACCCCCCCCCCCCCACACACACACACACACACATACATTTCTCAGCTACACAAGAATTAGGAAAACCTTTGTGACACAAATGAACATTAAACAAGTTCAGATTGACCTCAGTTGCACCTAAAAGAGTTTTAGAACTTGTGTACCCAATGTTGACACATTTCAGTATCTATCAAAAGTTTATTTACGACATGTTATTATTAGGGTCAATAATCCAGTCAGTCAGGCTCCCCACCATCACAGACATCTACACCTCCAGATGCAGGAAGAGGGCCACCTGCATCATGAAGGACCCCACTCATCCAGCACATACACTTTTTGCCCCGCTCCCCTCAGGAAGGAGGTTGAGGAGCATTAAGTGTAGAACCACTAGACTGAGGAACAGCTTCTACCCTGAGGCTGTTAGACTCATGAATCTCTAATCAGAATAATCACTGTGAAAAATCACATCATGTTGCTGCTGATCTGTTTCATGTTGCTGCTGATCTGTTTCATATTGCTGCTGATCTGTTTCATGTTGCTGTGTTCATTCGTACTAATCTGCTCACACAGACTCATGTTCGTGCTGCTGTTCGGCGCATTGTTTTGATGCTACTAGTGCTCAGTGTATATTTAGTTGATGTTTTTCTTAGTTCATATCTTAGATCTTATTACGGTTTTTCTTTTACATTTTAATGTTGGACGTAACTGGGACCCTGTGTAGATAATCTCATTCCACCACATGTACATTTGGTGGAACGACAATAAAGAAACTCTGACTCTGACTAATTGTCCAATATGTCTTTCGTGAAGAAAAACTTAGGTGTAGATCTGCTTAAATTTGCAATCAAAAAGTATGCTGTGGAAATTGTACTTCTCCTATTTTGTACTATATTCAACATAAGGCTTCAGAATAAAAGGAAATTAAATTTCTGAAGAATTTTATGGTTGCTCTATTAATTTAACGCATGTATGTGACGCTACAGAGTTTTAATGCAGTGATGTTTTTCTTATTTGCACATAAGATGTATGAAGCGTTTCCTGTTTTCTCATGAATGTCTACTTTTTTAATTCTACCAGCCTTTTTCTAATAGATGCGTTTACACACTGGTAGTATCTTACTGGTACAAAAAAGAAGACCTCTTTTGACTGTCATTGATCCCCCATTGGTATTTCACACTGACCAAACAGGCAGCTCAGTCTTGCATCAGTGTTTAGTAACAAACCAGCGTCACAGAAGCATCGTGGTGACAGAAGTGTCATTGGTTACACACCAGTAAGGCTCCGTGCTGCTGGCTCAGAGGTCTCAGCAGCAGATAGACTTTGACACCTCTGTGCTTTCAGACACGACACTGCTGGGTAACAAAACCACATCAGACCCAGCTTCAAAAATTTTCTGTGCGAAAGGCTAACCATCCATCTTCTATTTAACCTCTTTGCTCTCCATTTTATGTCAATAATTGAGTTTCACTGAAAACTGAAACCAAGTTCAAAAAGAAAAGAAAAAAAATCAATGGCTGATAAGAATAAGAGGAAGTGTGTTACTCACGGATGACAGAGTTTGACCAGGTCATGGTCGGTGGTTGAAGGGAGCAAGCCTCGGATGTAGAGGTTTGTTTTGCTGAGCTGTTCCCATCCTCCGGTGTTGCTGCTGCTGTTGGTGCTCGGGCTGGGCGGAGCCATAGGGTGCGACCGCGGGCCAACAGGTGGCTGGAGAGGGAACAAATACAACAGGTTGACTTTATCTCTGCACAAAAAGGAAACTGAACAGGATTCAAGTAATTTTATTGTGACTTAATGATGAAACTGAAACACTGCTTGAAGTCAAAACAGTACATTTCTGGGATAATCTTACAATGTAAGAAACAAAGACAAAAGTCTGAATGTGGTACATCATTTGCGCTAAGGATTATTGTTTCAGTGAGCAGCTATTCATTTGTGCACAACAATCCCCATCACACTTTAATGGTCAGCACAAAGGGTGCATTACTCTTTCAGTGCCTTTACATGTTAAAAAGGTAACTCTTCTTCTGTGTTGCTGCGCAGATCTTTCTCTGTCCAAATGTATCCGTTATGGGAATCCTTACAAAACCCACATATCTACCAATCTGACAGAACTTTTCTCTTCAGGAATTTATCCTTTCCCTTATTATCTGACACTGCTTACCTCCCCCATCACCCTCTTCCCTCCCTGACGAATCCCAAGCCGAGAGGAAGCTTATGGAATCCCAAGCATGAAGTGGTGATAGGATTGAGCAATCCAAGTCTGAACTTCGGCCTAGAGGATCTTCTCTCGTGACCCACTGGTCAACTGCCTCACATGCCTTCAGCATGAAACAAGTGTGCCTCATTTGTCCTCACGTTTCTGATTTAGGAGCGACATTGTGCCCTTGTTAGACTGAGTGTGGGTTTTGTTTTCATGCAGCTGCACGGCTGCTTAGAAACAAGCAGCCCTGTGAGAGACTGAGACATGTAGAGGATGACATCTTATCAGCCAGCTCCAGACCAGCAGGGCCGTCACACTCTCTCCGGAAATACACACAAGGTTTCCAGTAACAGGCCTCGCCCAATGGCAGGATAACAACATGAGAAGTGTTGAACAGAAATGTTTCAGTGAAACAAAGTTCCTAACATCTGCATGGAATAAAGCCCATATTTAGTCATCTTTACAGTGAAATGATGTGCAGTAACACACAGATGATTAATGCTATATATCAAACTCCCAGAGGGGAAATGAATGGCTTGTTTAGACTAAAAGAAAGCGGAGACCAACCAAAACAGTGGCCAGCCCAGAATCCTCAAACAGAAACTGTTTTGTTTACCTTTTTGGCTAAGTGATGCTAATGGTTAGCTCATAATTCAAAACGTTTATTGTGATGGGAAGCTGTCAGAAACAGCATGTCTTCGTCTGTTTGTGTGTCCTGGACAAAGAAGCTGGAATTCTCAAAATTCTCAGAGGACTTTACATAGAAAACACCAAAGTCTTTAGCTCACGTCGAGGTTATTTTAATGCTGCCACTGACACGGACACATATTTGTGACTTTCTGGGTTAGCTTAGGAAGTGACTTAAGTGTCTGGGTTTTAATATAGATATAATTACCTGTTTACGATATGGAGTCCTTAGTAGGTTGCCAGTATTTGCAAAAATCATCCTCAATCGGCGATAGTTTTACGTGAATAAAACAATCACGAAATGCATGAAACTCCACGTAAAAGTTGAAAACTGATAGTGAAAGATATCCTTTTTAATTCGTTAAAAGAGCAAAAAATACGTTTCTGCCCATATTTGCTGTATGCATATCCTTGTTATCGAGTATTCGGTAACAAAAACAAACAAAACGTCCGACAAATTGTCCCGACTTGGTTCGCCCAGCCCTGTTTGTCAGACGGGCGGCTTCATTGATTTGCAGTCACCGCTGCGTGGATCGACGCAGCTAGTGTGGGTCAAACCATTCTGAGTTTTGTTCGAGGGGGGGTGCTTTTAGAGTAGGTCGCCAAAATACTAAAACAACTCATATATATTTGTTATAATCGCTATTGATACAAATATATTATAGCTTATAAATTGTATATTTTCCGTTAATTATGCTTTAATTATCTTTTTAAACAAAACACACGTTTTTAAATAACCATATCCCCCCTATGATAATGATGGTTCAATGAAAGATGCATACCAAACGTTCCAGTGGGTCTAAGGTGGTCCTAGATTTGGTAACTTTTTTATATTGCTCATGTAAAAATTATATACTTTAAACATTGTTTTTTCTTTTTTGTTTAGGATATCTAAATATCGCATGAAGTACTGATGCGCTTTAAAGAGGCCTGAAAATAAGATAATAAAATGTTAGTGTTTATTTATTGCACCAGAAAAACTTTCAAGAAAGATAATTTTTATCTGACTTTCATTTATGGCTGTACCTGTTTGTAAATTTATCCATACTGCCGATTTATTGCCTTTAAGCTGCTGTATTCATATCCATCTGCTCACAACAGATTCATGTTCAGGCTGCTGTTTAATACACCGTGTTATATAATATTATTATTGTTTAGCATATATCTTAGATCCTTGTATACTGTTTCTTTTTTATACTTAATATTTTTGCTATTTTTGGGTGGAACTGGGACCTTGAGTACACAGTTTGATTCCACCTCATGTACCACATGTGATGCGAATGACAATAAAGAACCTTGAATTTTGATTTATATATGTTCATTTGCCCTGCTGAACAAATCAACAGCCACCTTTCAGTGAAAATTATAGTATTTTATTGGCAATAGAGTGATGGCTTTCAATTATTTTTAAATTGATTGTCTCATTTGTCTCTATGTGTCTCTGTGATGGACTTGCGACCTGTCCAGGGTGTCCCCCGCCTCTCGCACAGTGACTGCTGGATACGGGCACCAGTAACCCCCATGACCCGAAAAGGAAGATGCGGGTAAAAGTTAATGGATGGATATTTCTATTATTGGTAAAATATGTTGTTTGGTGTTTCAATCAGTGCAGACACAATATGGCAGAACATGGTTGGAAAATCTCCAGAAATAGAACCTATTTGTGTTGAAACACCAGAGGGAAATTGGGAAAATATGTTAGACTTGTTCACAAACTGATCCTTTAAAAGCCACACTGATGCAGACTAAAAATTTGCAGGAAGAGGCTGCTTCTATAATGGATTTTGCCCTGCGTGGCCCTCTTAATGTGAGTGATGGTTGGTTGTGGGTGTAAAATGTGTGCAAGTGTTTCTTTATTGAAGCGGGCCAAATGGGGCTATAAATCAAAGGCAATTTAACACCGTCTGATTAGAAAACCGATATTGTTCTGCTTTTATACTCCCTCTAAACAGTTTCTTTGGAGGTCAGCTGTCTGATCAGTTCATCACACTACACCAGCACAGAAAAAGAGAGAAAACATTTGAGAGATGCTTTATATAGAGGTGTATAGTAATAGTGACTGAAATGATCCCTATGAGCTCACTTTTTCAACAAGTCTAAGTATAATTCAACCTACGTGAAACAAAAGGTCACTAGTCTCGTAGAGAAGTTCATCAGGCCAACAGGAGCCATGAAGTCAGGCATTAGAGGAAAGGGATTAAAGTCTGATTCAGCTCTTTCTATCCAGGATGTTGGGGTGAAGGGTAGACAGAAGCAATAGAAACATCCTTTACATGACTGTGAAATTAAAGGTTATATCTGCTAAAAGTCTTTGTAAAACTAAACTAAACCCAATTCATGAGAACACAATTAAAACTGCAGTCTACTCTGCCAATCAACACTTAGCTTATATTTAATATCCATAAATGAATTCTAAAATGAGTAGGAAACTGCACTAAGTCCCACAAAGAAGAATGTTTTAATATAAAATAGCAATGAAAGAACAATCAGAAGTGTACATGATCTTTGTAGCTCATACTGTAGCTTTAGATTGTGCACAGAAAATAGCTAAAGCAAGCACAAACATGCATGTTTGGAAAGATTACAAGATTATCAAGACACAAACTCATTCACACAAAAATACACAAGCTTGAACTCACTCACACGCGTTGGGTATTTCCAAAGGAAATTATCAAGTGAGGTTATATTAAGACACTGTGCTACTTTTCTGCTTGTTCTTGCTCCTCCATGAACGCATAAAAAAATATCCATGAAACTAAACTAAATGCCTAGAAATCATTTAAAAAATCCTGAGTTTGAAACTAAGATGATTATTATTATTTTTTAACAATATTGGTTTTACTTTTCAAACCAGTCACTAGGGAGCACAAACCAGTGTACCTCTTGTGCCGGTTCGAAGTCTGGGTAAATAGTGAGTTTTGTGTCAAGAAGGGCATCTGACATAAAATGCTTCTGTAAAAACTAACATGCAAGTTCATCTAAGTGGCACCATACAGGATCGGTCAGGGCTCGGATTAACAACGACCGCCATTGGGCTGTGGACAAACAGGGTCCCAGCGGAAATTGTGCTACTGTTAGTCGAAGACCACGAGGAGAGAAACGTGTCAGGAGACAGAAGGAGAAGAGGAAAGTCAAGAATGTAGGAATGAGGGTGGCAACTCTAAATGTGGGGACAATGACAGGCAATGTTAGAGAGCTGGCTGGCATGATGCAGAGAAGGAAGGTAAATGTTTATGTATCCAAGAGACTAGGTGGCAGCAAGGCTTGCAGCATTGGACAGTGGTGAAACGTGCTGTAGGAGTGACAGATAGATTTAAGGTGGAAATGGGAGTGCATCAAAGATCGGTTCTGAGCTCCTTCTTGTTTGCTCTGGTGATGGACCAATTAACAGATGAGGTCAAGAAGGAATCCCTGCAGACTATAATGTTTGTAGATGGTATTGTGATCTGTGGTGAGAGCAGGGAACAGGTGGAAGAGAACTTAGAGAGGTGAAGGTATGCACTTGAAAGAAGAGAAATGAAAGTCAGCCGTAGTAAGACAGAGTACATGTGTGTGAATGAGGAGGAGGCCGGTGGAACAGTGAGGCTACAAGGAACAAAGGTCACAAAGGTGCAGGACTTTAAGTACTTGGGGTCCACTGTTCAGGAAAATGGAGAGTGTGGTAAAGAGGTGAAAAAGAGTCCAGACAAGATGGAGTGGATGGAGAAAAGTTTCAGAAGTGATTTGTGACCAAAGGGTGTCTGCAAAGGTCAAAGGAAAAGATTACAGAACAGTGGTGAGACCAGCAATGTTGTATGGTCTGAAGACAGAGACGTGGACAAAAAGACAGAAGAAAGAACTGGAAGTAGCAGAAATGAAGATGTTGAGGTTCTCCCTAGGAGTGACAAGGATGGATAAGATTAGGAATGCAATCATCAGAGGTACAGCACAGGTTGAACAACGGGGAGATAAAGTTAGAGTCCAGACTGAGATGGCTTGGACATGTCCAGAGGAGGGACAGTGGGTATACTGGTAGAAGGATGTTAGAAATGCAGCTGCCAGGAAAAAGACAAAGAGGAGATATATGGATGAGAGGACATGAAGGTATAGTTGGAGTGAGGACAGAGGATGCAGAGGAGGATGACATCTCTGTGGCGACCACTGAAAAGGGAAAAGCCAAAATATTTTTTTTTTCTGGACCTAATAATACAAAGTCTTGTGAAATCTGTTTTCTGTCAAATCTGGTTTTATGTAAAATAATCTGCTTAAATAACTTCTAGTTTCAAACTTTGTCAATTGGGTTGAAGTTGAACAGTTATGGAAACAAATTGCATTAAGCCACACAAGTCAAAATCGTTTCACACTCAATTATTTTTTTCCACAAAGTCAAATTTTGTCAAAGGCTTTGTCCTGACTAAAAACTTTGCACATCATAGTTCAGTTAATAAAGATGTCTGAAGTGACTGTGAGGTCGTTTCAGAATACAGCTGAATTTCTCATTATGTGATGCATTAATTGACTTAAATACACCTTGAGCGCGAAGTTACTGTAGCATTAGACTCCTTACTTGTTTTAAAATGAAGTTAAACACATTATGAATTGAGATGTGTTCTTGTTTTAATTATCAACCATGAAATTATCAAACGTAATTTGAAATCCCATATCTGGCCCACGGTTTCTCACTTCCGAGAGAAGCTGCCAGCTCAGAGAGAAGTACAGGCCTGAAAAAACAACAACATGGCGAATGAAGAAAACTAGCACAGCTGTCACTAAATAAGAATTTATACGTATTCTGAACCCTTGGTTTTTACAGTATCTCTGCTTTGAACATTGTTCTCGTCTATACTATTCTGTTGCGCTTGCACACTTTTTTTTGGCACGTTTTAGGACCGTCTCTGAAAACTTTCTAATGAATTACAAAATAGCTTCATGAAGAGTTTAATTGTGTAGCTTTGACAAATGTCGAATTGTCCCACAAGAGTAATACAAGCACAAAGGGGGCTCTCCCAGGCTTGACTGGGACATAAAAAGCATGGGTGGTTTCATTGTGTACATTTTGCTGCCTGGCAACTCTCCAAACTTTATTGTAAACATTGTGTATGGTGCCACTCAGCTTTAACGTAATGCCATTGTCCACACAGTCACTGCAGCAGTAAATGATTCACTTGACAAGGAAGTTTGGTAAAGTCTACTTTGATGGAAGGAGCTTATAAAACTAGAGGAATTGACTTTCTCATCCTGAGGAGACGTTTATCAGTCTAAAAATTTAACTTTATATTTTGTCTTAGAAAGGATCAGTTAATAAAACATATTCATTTGGATCACTTTGAATGCAAAATGATAAAGATCACAATAAACAACTATATCGCTAAAGGTTTTATCTTGTGCCAAAGCAGTATTATAAATCAAACTAAACTGATTTCATATTCTATAAAGTTTAGCCTAAAAATCTGTTTAAGAACGAACCGTACTGACAGATTTTTTTGTGTGTGTCAGTCTTATGAATAAAAGA